ACCTAGCCATGGCAGACGTGGTGTGAGGCACGGATCAACGCCAGTAGATACAATGGTAGGAACAGAGAGGCAGCAATAAATACAGAAACCGAGATAGAGACCAAGAAAAAGGGAGAGGCCGAGAATGTAAACTGACAGAGACTGAGGGGCAGGTGCAGAGATAAGAGAGTGGCAGAGACAAAAGGACTGTGGACTGAGAGGGTAGAACCAGTGGGGGGGCCTCCCGGGTGGCCTGGAGGAGGATCAGGGCCAGGAAGACCTGCCCTCCTCAGCTCCACCTCCAGCTGTGCTGTCTCCCTTCCCCCACAGCTGCCCGGCCTCCCTCTCCTCCTCTGTCTTTCCTGCAGGCTCCTCCTCTCCTCCTCCTGCCCCAGGTTTCTCGGCCTGAACCCCAGGTCAGGATGGAGCCCAGCTCCAACCAGAGTGGGGAGATGTAGGCAGTAGATGGGTTAATAAGCTCCCTCCCCTACCCGGAGACCACCTTAAAACCACCTTGTGGTCCCACGGAGCCCCCAGGAGATAGGACAGGTTTCCTGGGGTGGGAGAAGAGAGGGGATGAGCGTATGACCTGAGCTTCCAAAATAGCCTCTTCCCTCTGGGGTCTGTGTAAGAGCCTCCAGGACACCAGAACCTCCCTGAAATCTGGAACTGAGGGAAGAAGCCATTCGTAGCAAATGCTGAGCCCTCCCCCATCCCCTCTCACGTCATCACTGAGAAAATGCCGCAGAGAAGAGGGTGGGCTGGAGAGGCAGTCACCTACCCGCTGGTGCCGGGTCTCTGGGCCTGAGAGAAACGCCAGTCCGTGTTGGGCGGGGCTTGCTGTGGAGAAAACAGAGGGAAATGGGCTGAGTACCCTGGAGAAGTCTGAATGTTACCGACCCCTGGGGATGGGCCCGAGGCAGAGAGGGGAGTGCACACAGAGAAGAAACTGGTGTCAGATGGGGGGTGGGGGGGATGTAGACTCATCTTCAGAGACAAAATATACCTCAGGTTTCAGGGGGTACGGAGACAGATAAAAACATTTATCTGACCACAGTGAGCAAACCGATTCCTTTGCTAAAGAAACCGCCCCTTCCTCCCTGGCCCCCAGACTCAGATTTCTGAGCTGAGACTCCGGGGCTAAAATGTCTTCCGCAGAACCCAGAACCGAGGGGAGGGGTGCAGAGGAGGCCCCCAAATGTGGCCGATGAGAACCCTGCCAGCCCCAGAAAGATTTATTCAGCTCCTCAGCTGGGAACAAAGCTTCCGCTGCAGCAAGATGGCTGCTGCCTGGGTAACCCTTTTCGTGCCAGGTTGTGCCGTAACACACTCAGAGGGACGCCTCTTCCCGGCCCTTGGCAATCAAGGGTCCCTTCCCACAGCTAAATACATTATTAATTTAGGAGTCATGCCAGGCGGGGCCTTTGCAGGGCATCCAAGCCCCAGGACACCTCTCGCCCCCATAACTCGGTGCCAGACAATGACTGTGTCTAAGGAGGAGAGAACAAGGCTCCTCTGTCTGGGACAGAAACTGCTGGATGGAGCCCAGCAGAGATCAAGCTCCCACAGCCTCCAAGCAGAGCCAACCAAGTCTCCAGGGCTCCCGAGGGGCCGATCTGGAGCCATCCGCCACCTGGAGGAAGCGTGGGACTCTGGCCAGCCACCTCTCTCCCAGCCTTTCCCCGGGGGTGTGTTATCCCATCACACACACTCACTCCTGAGCTTTCTCCTCACCCTTCTGGGGTGTGCTAGTAATTAATTCTCACACTCACTCCCAGGAGCGGAGAAGGAGGTGTGAGCATCTCTGGTGACACTGGGGAGAAGGAAGACCCATGGCTGCCAAATGACTCACTCGGAGCCTCACAGGTGGCAGTGATGTGAGCAGAGCCCAGAAACATAGCCTCCCAGGTGCAACAGGAGTCACCAGCACCGTCTGGGGCTGCCCACCCTCAGCACCGTATCTGTGGCAATAGCAGAATCTACACGGAGACACAGGTACCCTGACAGATTGGAGGAGAGGAGCTGGGCGAAATTCAAAACCTGCAAAAGGACGCGGGTCCACCTTTGTTCCTTAGGGCCGCTCTGGGGTAAGGAGCCCCAGAAGACCTTTCTCCACTTGGGAGACCCACCTCTACCCCATCCCAGCAGGTGCAGACATCCCTGCTGTCCTCCAGCGTTCCAATGGCCTAGTTCTGCTGGCATTAGGCAGACCTCCCTTAGGTCTTCCTCCATCACTTACCGGAGGACTTGAACAAGTCACGTGACCGCTGTGAAACTGTCCTGAGGTGGGGGTGCTAGTACCTCTCCAACCAAAGTGTTGGAGGAGCAATGAGATGTGGCTCTCAGAGGAGGTGTGTAGTGAGCGCTCCCGGTCAGCTATCACACTCTCACGGGGGTCTTGTTCCAAAATATGATTCCGTGGGGGCGGGGTGAGGCACAGACATATTGTGATAAAAGCTCCTGGAGTTGTGGCACCTTATGCTTTGTTACTACAGTGGGGCCTTGACTTACGAGTGTCCCGACTAACGAGTTTTTTGAGATACCAGCTGTCTCTCAGTGGATTTTTTGCATTGAGTTGACAGAGTAATTTGAGTTAATGAGCTCCTTAACAAGCTCCTTAACGAGCTCGGTCTCAGAACGAATTAAACTCGTAAGTCAAGGTCCCACTGTATTATAGTTTCTCCATACACGAGGGCACCCTGGCACCTGGCAGAGGCTGTGGCTCTCCATCAGCCAGAGAGGGAGGATGTGCCAAAGTCTCCGATACTTTGGTCACCCCCAAAGCCTAGGTCTGAGATCTCTAGACACATTGTGGTCACGACGGAGCCAAACACCGATCCACTTCCCGCGAGAGGACAGGGCTGCGGGTGGCACTGAGGTCCCAGGCTGCGGGTCCTGCAGCAGCTGCCTCGCTCTCCCGGGGCCGGGACCTGCCGGCCCTTGGACCCCAGGGCACCTCGGACCACCTGGCCGAGGCTTCTGGGCTGGAGGCCCAGCGGGATCGGCCGGCCCGTGGGTCATAGAGTCCCAGCCACCGCGCCTTGAGCGCCCGGACTGGCTCCCGCGCTCTGGACGCCCCAGCCCACCCGGAGGCGACCGGGTCCGGTCCGGGACAGCACCGGCATGACCTGGGACTGTCACCAGGGTGCGCAGTCAGCGGTGAGCACCTCGGAGGTAGCGGGACGGAGGGAAGCTGTGAGGGGCTCAGCCTGTGGTGTGACCCGCAGCTGGTAGTGCAGGCGGCGCGAGTCCCAGCCCCAGTGCGAGGGCGTGAGTGGCGGGAACCCTGCGCACGCCCCTGTCCTGTCCACAGATGCGTGTTTGGACGGGGGAATACGGAGGGTTGAGAACAACAGCGAAGTCCCAGATCCCGGGAGTTGGGAGAAACTTAAGAGGAAACTTAGGCGGCTGGCTGTGGGCGTGGGTCTGTGACTGCCTCCACCCTGGACCCCCGGCCCCCGCGGAAATCGCTGGCAAGGTCGCCGGGCCCCTGCCTTTTCGGAGTTGTGGAGGCAGGGGCGGTCCTATCACTTCCCGGGGGCTCAGAGCAGCATCCCTGTTGGGCCACACCTCTGGCCCCGCGCAACCTGTCCGAATGGTCCCCACAATCGGGTGAGACGCCGCCAGCAGCTAGCAGCCGAGCCCGTGTGAGCGGGGTGGGTGCAGGTTCAAAGCCCCTAAGATCTGGCCGGGCAGCTGGGGATCGCGCTGAGCCCCTCACCTGGCTCGGCTCCCGCAGCGTGTTAGAGCGGGACCGGGAAGGCGTCGGGCTCCAGCGCCAGGGCTGAAGGGCTGCTGGACGCCGAGGGGCCTTAGAAAAGTGAAGTCACTGCCGTCCGAGGCTGGTGAAAAGCACGTCCTGTAGCAGTGGCTCTGCGAGTCCGCGGGCCGCAGCGTCACCTCCATGTACTTGAGCGTGCCGTCCGAGCTCACCTGCAGGTTGGGGCTGGACTGCTTGTAGTAGTCCTCCCGGGAGGGCGAGTCCTGGCGCTTGCAACACCCGCCCCCGCCCCCCTCCCCATCTGCCTGTCCCCGAAGGCACTTAGCTGACAGAAAGGTGAAGGTGACTAAAGATAACAGACTGACGGCTGCGAGGGCCACAATGAGGTAAAGGGTAAGGTCTGACCGCTCAGGAGGGTGTGTGAAGAAGTCGCTGGATTTGGGCATTTCCTCAGGGTCCTCATCCTCCAGAACCAGGAGCACTGTGGCCGTGGAGGAGAGGGCAGGGTCACCGTTGTCCCTCACCAGGACCACCACCTGCTGGGTGTCAGAGTCCTCCTCCAGCAAGGCCCGGGCTGTGCGCACCTCACCGGTGTGTGCCGACACCAGGAACAGTCCTGGGGCTGTGGACTGTGGCAACAGCGAATAAGAGAGCCACGCGTTGTGGCCTGCATCCGCATCCACAGCTGTCACCTTGGTGACCAAGGAGCCAGGAGGCGCCGAGCGAGGGAGACGCTGGGGGGCTGGGAGCTCCCAGCCGGGTCTTGGGTGCAGCACAGCCGGGGCATTATCATTCTGGTCCAGGACAAACACATGCAGAGAGGTGTTGGCATGCAGCGGGGGAGAGCCAGAGTCTCGCACCCCCACCGCGATCTGCATCATCTGCAGCAATTCGTAGTCAAAGGTGCGTTGGGCAAAGACCCGCCCATCCTGGGGGTTGACATAGACGAAGGAGGAGGCTGGGGCTCCCTGGATCTGATTCCCTATGATGGAGTAGGTGAGCCGGGCATTGTCCCCCGTGTCTGGATCGGAGGCAGCCACAGTGCAGAGAAGGGAGCCTGGAGGCCGGTTTTCCGGGATGTAAGCAGTATAGAGCTGCTGGGTGAAGTAGGGGGCATTGTCATTAACATCGGAAATGTTGAGCCTGATGGTGAGATGTGCGTGCAGGGGAGGTGAGCCTGCGTCACTGGCCAGCAGCTCAATGATATAGTGGGATGTGGCCTCCCGGTCCAAGGGCTGGCTGGTTAGCAGTGAGTAGTGGTTCTCAGAGGGCTTAATCTGAAAAGGCAGGTCTGGAGAGATATCAAGGCTCACTTCACCGTTCCTCCCTGAGTCTCTGTCCCGCACATTAAACAATCCCACTACTGTGCCCACTGGTGTGCTCTCCAGGACCGGGTTGACCAAAGAGGCCAGTAGTACCTCTGGGGCATTGTCATTGGCATCCCCCACATCCACTTGAATCACACAGTGGCCTTCCATGGCTGGCTGTCCCTGATCACGGGCCCTTGCATGAATTTCATAGAAACTTGACTCCTCAAAGTCTATGGGACCCAACACATGGATTGCTCCACTGCTAGGATCTAGGCCAAAGAGATTCCGCACTGCCTCAGATGTATGGTCTCCAAAAGAATAGTCGAGTTGGCCATTGGTGCCTTCGTCCGGATCAGTGGCATTGAGGCGGAGCAGCAGTGTACCCATGGGTGCATTCTCTGCGAGTCCCACACGAAGAACTGAGGACTGGAAGGTTGGAGCATTATCGTTGATGTCCAGCACAGTGATAGAGATAAGGGCGGTCCCTGAGCGGGCTGGGACACCCCCATCCACAGCAGTGAGCACCAACTGATGTTTTGCCTGAGCTTCGCGGTCCAGCTGCTGCTCTAGCACCAGCTCTGGGAACAGCTTCCCATCTTTTAGGGTCTTCACATTCAGAGAGAAGTGGTTGTTGGGGCTCAGAGTGTAGAAGCTCACAGTATTGGTGCCCACATCTGGATCCTGGGCACTATCTAGTGGGAATCGTGCCCCCAGTGCAGCTGATTCCGAGATGCGTATCTCTCGCTCAGGGCTGGCAAAGCTAGGCGAGTTGTCATTGAGATCCAGGATCTCTACCTCTACACGGATTA